GGCAGTTGGACAAGGGAGAGTGGTGGTGCTACGTGCGACAGCTGTGGGGGAGGAGTCTGCAAGTGCGACGGTGACAGATGCAGGAAGTGGGGTGAGAGTAGTACTGTCTCTAAAGAAGCAACGAGATGCGCCCGAGTCAAGGATAAAGGAGAAGGCCGCCGCAGGAGGGGCGGAGGAGGAGCCTAGTGGATATGTAGTAGAGGCTCCTAGACTAGGCAAAGTGGTGGAGCCTAGATCCCTAGGCCCCAAGGCCCTCGGTCCTCCAGAGAAACCACACTGGCCCCAGGGCAGTGGCCGCCCCGAGGCTGCACCTCCAGAGCCTCCAACTCGCCCAGCACTCCCAAGACCCCACTGCAGCTGCTGCTACTGCGGCTGCAATACTGGCCAAAGATCCTGGAAGCAGACGTCTAGGTCGTGGATCCAGAAACCAATGAGGTAACTAATTTGATCCACTAAGAGTGTGCAGTCTAGGTGCGGGCTAACCAACTGTAGATGGTGAGCGAGATATCAGAGAGCGAAGGGAAGTGCGCGATGGTCTGGCCGAGGGACTGACCCGAACGAGGCCATCATGTTGAGAGGAACTCTAGAAACGAGGAGGAGACTAGTGGGAGGCACTAGGTGCAAGAGGAGTACAATCGGAGGTAGTAGCAGTGGCGACTGTGGCCAGAGCAGTGGCACCGAGCATAAGGCTGGTAGCAGCAGCGGCTAGTGATAGTAAGACAGTAGTAGCGGCTAGCTGGCAGCTGGCGGTAGGCTAGGAGCTGCTAGAAGGAGTGGGGAGAAAACGAGGAGGAAGTATGCATGAGAGGATCTACTAGGAGCAGTACGCCAAGGAGCTAGCTAGGAGGCACTAGGACTGGCGGCACAGGACGAAGGACAATCCACAGGGCATGGGGGACTCACGTGGCAAGTGGCCGACTGGCGAGTGGCGGCTGGCGGCTGCCTGCCGCTGGCAGCTGGTGGTCAGCGGCTGGCCGCTAGTGGTGGCAGCTGGCAGCTGACAGCTGAGGGTCGGCAGTCGGCTGCTGGCGGCTGGCGACTGGTGCTAGCGACTCGTGACCGGCTGCTGGAGGCAGAAGCTGACGGTGGGCAACAGCATTGGCGACAAGAGTAGCAGCGACGGCTGTAGCGGCAGCGGCAGCAGCAGTGGCTGCAGTAGTGGCGGCTGCAACGACAGTGGGCGACAGTAGGCGGCAGCGGGCGGCAGCGGGCGGCAGCCGGCAGTAGTAGCTGCTGTAGTGGCAGTGGGTGGCAGCAGCCAGCGCTAGCTGCTGGCTGCTGGCAGTGGGCTGTTGGCGGCTGGCGGCTGGCGCTGGCTACTGGTTGCTGGCGCTGGTGGCATTGGTGAGCCGGCAAACTGGCTGTTGGCTGCTGGCACTGGCTGCGGGCACTGCTAGCTGCTGGCGCTGGCTGGCGCTGACGAGCTAGGTGATGTTGGCTGATGGCGCTGGCAAGCTGGCGCTGGCTGCTGGCTGTTGGTGCTGGTGGCGTTGGTGAGCCTGTGAGCTAGTTGCTGGCGTGCAGGTGAGCTGGCGAGCAGGCGCGCTGGCGAGCAGGCGCGCTGGCAAGCAGGCGGGCTGGCGAGCAGGCGAGCGTGCAAGCTGGCGAGCAGGCGGGCAGGCGAGCAGGCGGGCTGGCGAGCAGGCGGGTGGGCGAGCAGGGGTGCGGTGGGCTGGCGAGCAAACAAGCAGGCGGGCTGGCGAGCAGGTGAGCGTGCAAGCTGGCGAACAGGTGTGCTGGCGGGCTGGCGAGCAGGCGGGCTGGCGAGCTGGCGGGCTGGCGGGCAGGCGATCAAGCGAGTAGGCGGGCGGACGAGCAGGTGAGCGTGTGAGATGGCGAGCAAGCGGGCTGGCAGGCTGGCGAGCAGGCGAGCAGGCGGGCTGGCACGAGCTGGTGCAGGCTACGAACGGGTGGCGGGAGGTGGGACGGCTACGAACTAAGGCGCTGGCAGGTGCGGGCCTGTGGCGGCTGGCGTGAGCTACGCGACGAAGAGGAGAGGGGGGAGGGGACGAGCTACGAGGCATGCAATTAGGGTCGAGGCGCACTAGGCTAGGGTGTGCTTGGGTGGAAGCATGAGTAGAGGGCGAGACCTAGCTCTAGATGCCGAGTTAAATTGTCGAGAGAATAATGAGCTAAGGGAAATTGTCGAGGGTTACAAAGGTAGGAATGTACCCTCTAAGAACTGACCTAACTAAGGCTATAACAAATATAAACTAGCTAGCCTAGATAATTATATTTGTTGACACACCCCCTAGGCGAGATATTGGCAGTTCATAACAAAGAAAAGTACACCAGGGCAGCACTACTAGTCTGACCTTTGGTGAGTGTAATAAGAAAACTGAGGGCAGCACTACTAGTCTGACCACTGAGACAAGAGGCCATAAGGTCATTCAGCAAGTGTAGCAAGACAAGTAGGTATAGAACAACAAATACAAGCAGGTATAGTACGACTTAGGATAAAAGAAGTGGTGCTACTACTGAGGCTAGACCAAGGTGAGTACAGAACCGCTGATAGTCACGAGGCGCAAGTGCCTTGGTGAAGATATCAACGGTGTTTGCCTCTAAGGCCAACTGTCCTACACGAACCTGACCGCCCTTCTGCAACTCACGCAACAGGAATTACCGCAGCTGGATGTGCTTTGCCCTGCCCTCAAGTCGAGCCTCCTGACACAAGAGGATCATGGCCCTGTTGTCAACAAACAGGACTGGGGCAGACCTAGGCTGCTCACCTAAGTCAGTGAGCAAGAACGACAGCCAGCAGAGCTCCTGAACAACCATGGGCCCAGCGTAAATCTCTGCCTCACAACTAAACTGAGCTAGAGACGACAACCTGGTGGACCTCCACAAGACTGCACCAGCACCAAGACAAAAGCAGTAGCCCTGAGATGACCTGAGCCTCTCCAAGTCATCAGCTCAGTACACGTCTGTGTGTCCAATGAGCACCATTGGCTGCCGTCCTCCTAGCACAAGCCCCAGTCCTGATGTGCTCGCCAGATACCGCAGTACCCTCTTGGCAGCCGACCAGTGGACTGGTCGGTGCCTGCCTGTCATGACAAAGCGAGCCAGGAGGGTAGGTTAGATCTGGTCACGTGCAGGTCATCAGGTACATGAAGCACCCCACCAGCTCTGCGTATGGACCACAAGCCTCGATCGGCTCAGCCGGAACAAGAGCAGAGAGCTTGTGATCCGGAGGCAGGGCGATGGGATGTGCTGAGGAAAACCGGAGACTGAACCTGTGGAGGATCTGCGACACCATATGGGACGGAGAGAGTGTGATCGTGCGAGCGGCACGGTAACGAGCGATCTCCAAGCCCAGATAGCGCCTCAGCTCCCCCAAGTCTGTACAGGTGTGTCTCCTAAGCAACTCGGCTTTCACTGAGGCCAGTGCGACTCTGTCAAGAGTACCAAAGATAGGATCGTCTATGTATACTAGGATGTAGAATGGTGTCTGACCCGTGCGAACAAAGAGGGAGGGGTCAGCAGAGGACGGAAAGAACTGCAGCTCAGCAGGAGTGGTGGGAAGCATGTCATGCCACTCACGGGGTGCCTGACGAAAGTCGTAGACAGGATGGCGCAAGCTACACTCGGTCCCACATGGGAAGGTCCCAGAGATCTGCTCGTGTAGACTACCTTGCAGGAACGCTGTAGAGAAGTCGAGTGAGTGAAGCTCATAGTCACGCTGCGCGGCTTTGTGAAGAAGGACCCGAAGTGTAATCATCTTCGGGGTCAATGAGAAGGTATGGAAGAAGTCCACACCATCACGCTTGTGCTCCGGCTGCTGCTCCACTTGCTGCTGGGGGTGCAGGTGCGACGGGGCTTCGAGACATCAGGAAAATAATTAAAGGTAACCCTGAAGAATCAGGGTGCCTCAAAACCAATCTAGGGCCCTGCTTTAAAGGATTTTTCCATAAGATGTTTTTCCATTCATGCCTATGCTGGTGATGTTTATGTGCGAGGTATGGTTCAGCAGTGTGCCAAGAGTATTACGAAAGGATTGGTCCAATTCGGGGGCCCTAGGAACATGCCATAAAAGGACCAAGTCTCAGACCTACGCTAGCCAGCAGGGCAACAAGCCGGGTGGCCAACAGGGCGGCCAACAGGGCGGCCAGCAGGGCGGTCAGCAGGGCGGCCAACAGGGCGGCCATCAGGGTGGCCAGCAGGCGGACAAGCAGGGCGGACAACAGGGAGGGCATTCCTGGTGTTGAGGGCGTGATGGTATGTCTGGGTGAGGCCTGCCAGCATGGTATGACCGCCCCACCCACCCTCTTGGGGCAAGCATGTTAGGATTAAGGACAGAGTCTAGGTGAACTTAGGAGCTAGAATTACTCAAAATATAAATCCGAAATTCTGGACAGAAAAGTCGTCTTCACAAGAAACGACGTCGACAAAACACTAGCCGTTGGAATGTCGCGAAACTTGGATATGTTGTAGCTCTTGATCTCAGCTACCGTTCCCAATTTGAATCACGTTGATTGATGAAGTATTCGCGACGCTATGGCTTTCGACGCACTAGGGGGTAAGCTGTAGGAGGAGAACTTAACTCAATCTCAAGAGTTCAATCAAAGTTCAAGAATCTCACAAGGAATTAGAAGGAGCAAGAGAAAGGTTGGGATAGAAGAGAGGGATGAGAGGGAAGGTCCCAAGAGAGTCCCCAACCAAGGAAACCCCATAAGCACAAAGATTCCCTCCCTATAGGAACCCCAACTTTGACATTTGTCCCTTCCCAACCAATCCATCCAAGTTGGCCACCCTTGCCAACCTAGCTTGGTTGTTCCCAACCAATTTGCAGCTGTTACAGTAGAGTGACGAATTTCCCCAACCCCAAAGGTCCCAACTCCATATAAAGTCACCCCACAACTTCACTTTGTAACCGCCGCAATTGTAACGCAAGCTCATGAACTTTGAATCTTCATAGCTTTCGCGTTCTTGCTCCGATTGACGCGATTCTTGTTGCGTCGGAAAGATCTTCTCAAGATCTATCATCACAAATACCTGCTCAGACAGAATAACACAAAACACATTCCCAAACTCCAGAACACACACCACACAAATTCTTTCACACACAGTCAAACCATACGTGCGAATTGAAACAAGGGATGGGAGGCAGACAGAATGTGATAACATATGATGACATCACACAACAATCTCCCCCTCTGGCTGCCAACCATCATCGACCATACCACATCTCAAGCATGCATACTCAATGCACACTCATCCCAGCAAGCTTCATGCCCTTCCAATGATCCGCCTCCGCCAGACGCTTAGTGAAAATATCTGCTGCCTGCTGATGGGTCTTCACTATCTCCAGCCGCACCTCCTTATCAAGGAGTCTCCTCACCCAGTGCCACTTAGGCCTTATGTGTTTTGTCAGCCCATGCAGACAAGCATTCTTGGCGAGCTTCACAGCAGACTCATTGTCACAGAACACAACTGTCGGCTCCTCCTGACCAACTCCCAACTCCTCCAACAAACGCCTTAGCCACACTACTTCCTTGGCCCCATGGTGTAAGGCCATGTACTCAGTCTCACATGAGGACAATCCCACCTCATTCTGCTTCTTGCTGCGCCAGCTCACAGCACCACCTCCTAGCAAGCACACATAACCCCCAATGCTGGTGCCATCCGCTTTCACTGAGTTGAAGCTAGCGTCAGTATAGCAACTCAAGAGCATCTTTCCACTCTTCACATCTGCAGCACCTCTCTGCAACCGCTGCCTCACTCCACTGTACTCCAATCCCACTGATGCCGTAGCACTCACATAGCGGACCAACCTCTTGGCCGCTTCCAGCTGCTCATGACTAGGGCGTGAGACCACACTAGCCAACCGTGATGTAGAAAATGCAATGTCAGGCCGTGTATGATTTGCAGCATAATTCAGCGACCCAACCATCGAATGAAACAGCTTCCTGTCACTCTCACCCACTACCTCCTCATCAGCACATGGCTCCACAGTAAACCCTGAAGGTAGTGGTGTTGCTGGCTTTCCCCCATCTTGCAGCCCATACTTCTCAGCCAGCCCCTCACAGTACTTCCTCTGGTGCAACCTCAGCACACCCTTCTCCACATCTCTCTCCACATGCATCCCCAAGTAGTACTTCACCTCACCCATCTTGGAGCACTTGAACTGCATCTCCAGCATCTGCTCTGCGCTGTCCAGCAAAGCAGTGGATGCAGAAAAGAGAAGGATATCATCCATATACACCAAGAGCATGAGGATTTCGTCCTTCTCCTGCAGCAGGAACAGGCTGGGGTCACACTCACTCTTCTTGAAACCCCCAGCCACCAGCGCCTCCTCCAACTTGTGATACCATGCACGAGGCGCCTGCTTAAGGCCATAGATTGCCTTCTTCAGCCTGCAGACCCTGCCGCTCCCATCATCCAGCCCCTCTGGCTGCTTCATGTACACCTCCTCCATAATGATCCCATTCAGAAAGGCAGTCACAATATCCATCTGCCGAATCTTCCATCCCAGGAGTGCAGCTATCGCCAACAGCACCCTCAGTGTTGTTCCTTTCCCCACAGGAGCAAACACCTCATCATAGTCCTTCCCCTTTGTCTGCTGAAACCCCCGTGCCACAAGCCTAGACTTGTAGCGGGTCAGCTCCCCTTCAGGTCCATACTTGTGCCTGTAGATCATCTTGGAAGTGATTGCCTTCTTTCCAGGAGGCAAGTCACACAGGTCCCATGTCTCGTTCTCAATTAGGGACCCGAACTCCTCATCCTCACTCGCCTTCCACTTCTCCCCATTTGGTCCATTCAAGGCCTCTTCTCGAGTCTTGGGCTCAGGGATTGGTGCCCAGTAGCAGTGAGCGATCTCATCTTCCTCAATCTGCTCAACCACACTCCCAGCCTGCACCACATTCGGCTTGCCTCTTCCCCCATAGGTCAGCCTCACTGGAGGGCGCACATCCCTCCTAGGACGCTCAGGCGGGTGTGGAACTCGAGGTGGAGACTCATGCTGCTGCTGCTGCTGCTGCTCTACTTCAGCTGCTCCCCCTTCCTCAGTCACCCCAGACATCTCCTCCTCTGACACTGCAACCTCCACCTGTCTTGAAGGCTGCTGCACCTCATCTGCCTCCACAATGAGCGGTGTAGATGGAAGCTTCTGTTGCTGCTGCTTCCATTCCTTGTAGTACAGGGACTCAAGAAACTTCACATCCCTTGACACTGTCAGCTTCTGGGTGGTCAAGTCCCATAGCAGCCATCCCTTGTGATCCTTTGCAATCCCCAAGTGCACACCCCATCTTCCAGAAGCCTCCAACTTCCCTCTTTTCTCCTTAGGCACATGAAACACTACCATGCACCCAAATGCCCTCAGCATGTTCACAGCTGGAGCACTCCCATACCACTTGATATATGGGATCCACTCCTTATCTCCAACTGTAGCCAGCACCCTGTTCTTCACAAGGGCGACCTGCCTCAGTGCAGACACCCAAAACGGATCAGGTAGCCCTGCACGCCCAAGGAGAGTGCGTGCCCCCTCCTGCAGGGTCCTGTTGAACCTCTCAGCCACGCCATTCTGCTGCGGATTGTAGGGCACTGTCAGTTGATGCTGGATCCCCTTCCTCTTCAACTCCCCCTCAAAATCAGCTCCAATGAACTCCCCACCATTGTCACTGCGGATCACCTTCACCTTGTGTCCGCATTCCCTCTGAGCTCTAGGCATCCACTCCTTAAGGACAGCCGCTGCCACCTCCCCCTTGCTGTTCAAAGGGTAAACCCACACTGCCCGAGTGTGGTCATCCACAATTGTCAAGAAATAGCGGCTGCCTGAGAGGGAAGGGGCTCTTGTGGGCCCCACCACATCCATGTGCACAAGTGCAAGTGGGGTCTTGGCTGGTCCTGTTGCACTGTTGAAGGGGAACTTGGAGAACTTGGTCTCCAAGCATGTAGGGCAGCTCCCAATCTCCTTCACTTCCCCTTTCACCTCCAAGCCCTTCAGGCTCCCATTCTTCACCAACTTCTGCAGCATAGGGAAGTTCACATGACACAACCTCTCATGCCATGTCTCCCAATCGGCCTCTCCACTCCTTGATGAAGCCTTAGCCCATGCCGCACTCGCATCCACACCAGCAAGCACCTCACCATGTGTCTGCTGCTTCTGCACTTTCTTGACTGCTTCCAGGACCCCATCAGTTGGTGCAGTTGCATCTCCTCCTGCTGTTGCCTTTGCCGCTGCTGCCGTTGCTGCTGTTGGAGTCTTCCCATTCCAAGGGATGATGGGCAGCTGCCACAGGTCCTTGATGCAGCTGGTCTCCTCTTCCAGACTCCACAGCACCTTCTTCCCAAGCTTAGCACGGCAGCTGGTTGGTCCAAAGGTCACTTCGGCCTTACTCTTCTGCAGTCGTCGCACAGAGAGAAGGTTAGCAGACAAGCCTTCAACCAGCAGAACATTCCCAAGCCCCACAAGCTCCCCATTAGCTCCCTTAACCTTGGCATTTCCAACACCAATGACAGGGAGCAAAGCACCTGACGCTGCTGCCACATACTTGATCTTCCCAGGGGGTTTTACCTCATCAAGCAAATCTGCCCGTGGGGTCATGTGACTGGTGCAACCTGAATCAATCACCCAGTGCGTGAGAGGGTGCATCACAACCTTTCCCACAGATCCCACATCACCCTCATGCCCATGCACATCCTCAACCATGAGATACATCCCAGGATAGGCGTTACCTTGTGCACCTTCACCTTGTGCACCTGAGCCTTGCACAGCGCCACCTTGTGCGCGTTCACCACTTGGCGGCTTCATGCCTGGAGGTGACCATCCCTCCAGCCTGCTGAAGCACTTGAACCAAGGATGCCCGACCTTCTTGCAGTACCAGCAGGTGCCCTCCATTCTGGTACTCCCCCTGCCACTGGAGCTCCCATGCCCCTCATTATAGTCACCTCGGCCTCTACCTCTGCCAAAGCTTCTCCCACGGCCTCGGCCTTTCCAACCCCCTCTTCCTCTGCCGCGCCCTGCAGCTCCATACCCCTCAGCAGTCTTAGTGGCAGCACCGCCTCCCACATGGCGTCTGCGGAAGTCCTCCTGCAGAATCTGCTGCCTTAGCCACTCAGGTGTCCATTGATCTTGCTGAGAGTTGAGGGTGGGGATGAGGTTATCCCACGAGTTGTCCAACACCGAGATGATCTTGGTGCACTGCTGCAGCTGAGATACACTGCTGCCCGCTGCTGCCATCCTTGCATAGGTGTCCTTGATCTTGTCAAGGACCGGCTTCACATCGTCCCCTGGTCGCATGGAGATGGCAGCAAGTTCCTTCTCGAGCACGATCACCATCGGGAGAGTGTTGGGCTGAATCACATCGCGTAGTAGTTTCCACGCCCTTGGACCCGAATCATCCGCTTCCACAAGATCCTTGATGTGCTCGAACATCTCCTTGTTGACCGATTGAAGAATGAGGTCGAAAAGCACCGCGCTTTTCTCAATCCACCGTTCACGTGCTTCGCCTTCTTCCGGCATCTTCTCTTCCCCAACAGCAATCTTCAGTAGCTTGTAGCGTTTGAAGGCACTCCTCATCCGTCCGCTCCATTCCTCATAGTTGGAGCCATCCAAAGCTTCAACTTTTGATGGCGGCGGCTCACTTGTCTTCTCAGCTACAGCTCCTCTTCCATTAGCATCTCCTCCTCTCTCATTCATCTTCTCCTTGAGAAATGACGAATTTCAGCTCCCCTTTGCTGTCCACACTCAGCTCCCTCGATATTTTCACAAGTGTCGGCGTCCACGAAATTTCGGCAGAGTTTCCCCTTAGCGGAAGACACATCCAACCTTTAGAACACCACTTAGGCACACCCACAGGCCATGGTGGGTCTAGAAGGGTCTTCAAACTTCTGTAGACTCCTCTCAATGTCCTTAATATTGCTCTGATACCACTTGTTAGGATTAAGGACAGAGTCTAGGTGAACTTAGGAGCTAGAATTACTCAAAATATAAATCCGAAATTCTGGACAGAAAAGTCGTCTTCACAAGAAACGACGTCGACAAAACACTAGCCGTTGGAATGTCGCGAAACTTGGATATGTTGTAGCTCTTGATCTCAGCTACCGTTCCCAATTTGAATCACGTTGATTGATGAAGTATTCGCGACGCTATGGCTTTCGACGCACTAGGGGGTAAGCTGTAGGAGGAGAACTTAACTCAATCTCAAGAGTTCAATCAAAGTTCAAGAATCTCACAAGGAATTAGAAGGAGCAAGAGAAAGGTTGGGATAGAAGAGAGGGATGAGAGGGAAGGTCCCAAGAGAGTCCCCAACCAAGGAAACCCCATAAGCACAAAGATTCCCTCCCTATAGGAACCCCAACTTTGACATTTGTCCCTTCCCAACCAATCCATCCAAGTTGGCCACCCTTGCCAACCTAGCTTGGTTGTTCCCAACCAATTTGCAGCTGTTACAGTAGAGTGACGAATTTCCCCAACCCCAAAGGTCCCAACTCCATATAAAGTCACCCCACAACTTCACTTTGTAACCGCCGCAATTGTAACGCAAGCTCATGAACTTTGAATCTTCATAGCTTTCGCGTTCTTGCTCCGATTGACGCGATTCTTGTTGCGTCGGAAAGATCTTCTCAAGATCTATCATCACAAATACCTGCTCAGACAGAATAACACAAAACACATTCCCAAACTCCAGAACACACACCACACAAATTCTTTCACACACAGTCAAACCATACGTGCGAATTGAAACAAGGGATGGGAGGCAGACAGAATGTGATAACATATGATGACATCACACAACAAAGCACGCGCAAACACCGCCGCAATGAAAGCGTCCACGCCCTGCTTGAACTCCGGTCGCAGCTGGTCTACCTTCCAGGGAGAGAGAGAGCGAGAGAGCGAGAGAGCGAGAGACCCATGGATAAAATAAATGGAGGGAGCAAGGGAAGGAGCTGGTCCAGGCATCGACTGACAGGCAGATGGTCAAGTCATTAACATGATAACAAAAAATTTACAGATTGTGATTCGATTTGAAGAGGAGTTTGCTATAATGGAGACAAGCTCCTTCACATTCTCCCAGGTCCGAGGGACCTGCCACCTAGTCTTATTTGCTTTTTCTATTCTCTGATTGCTCCCACCCCCCACTCCCGCTTTCCCTCTTCAGTGTTACTTGTTTTGCTTAGTCCTTTAGGCCATCCAAGTACTTTGTAATCTGAGTGTGCTGTATTATTGAATTTGAAATGCTATGACGACTGCACTGCACACTTCTCTGAAAGTCGTGTCACAATTTACAGGCAGCATGCATATCACAATAGAGGAGTGAGAAAGAGAAATAGGGGGAACGGAAAGACGAGGTGCGCATTCATAGCAACAAGTAATTAACATTAAGAAAGAGGAGGTACTTGCACTCACAGGCACCTGGTCCAGCCTCTTCAGCAAATGCTCACAGGCAACCGGGCGGGCGAGAGCAAAGCAGTCGCGATTGGAGAAGAGCGAGCGGATGGACTCACGGACCTAGGAGAGAGAGAGGAGGGACCGAGAAAACTGCGAAGACAGCAGAGATTGGGTGCATTGGAATGAAACGGCGAGGGAGCTGATTTCCACATCTGGCAATTATGAAGGTGGTCATGAGCAAGCTTACGTGGGTTGCCACGGGCTGCTCCCAAATGAACGAAGTAGACAGGGGGGAAGAACATTGCGTGGCTGGAACATAATATAAGAACCTTTCTCAGGGACACGACAATTAACCAGATTCGTGGCCCTCCCTGCATCAGAATCCTCCATGGAAGACCGTAGGGCCATCTCAAGGTACTCCTGAAGAGAAAACTCACTCCCATCCTCAATCGAATCCAAGCAAAAGTCCTGCAGATAGTGGGAATGGGGGGGGGAGAGGGGGAGGAGGGGGCAGTGGGGGAGGGGGAGTGAAGAATTGGGGATGAGAGACATGCATAGAGAGAAAGCAACATACGTGACCATGTCTCACTCTCAGTGCGCATCATCACGAGCATGCATTACCATAAGCATGCATCACCATAAGCATGCATCACTATAAGCACGCATCAACATAAGCATGCAACACCATAAGCATACACCACCATGAGCATGCATCACCATGAGCACGCATGAACATGAGCATGTATGACCCGCCTCACGCGAAGAAGCCAAAAGAACGTGGGATATTCAATGGGAAGGAAGCGACCCAAGCCATATGTCGCCATCCCTGTCACCACGGAGAGGTGGTCAAAGGAGCACTCGTCAATGGTTCCCATCTGCACACAGAACATGCAATGACATGCAAAAACATACATACATGCACGTACACAGTCCTTCTGTGATCTTCTTTCCTACTCCAAACTATGTACAGTCACACACACAGTTACCATCCCCCATTTCTCTATCATCCCACCCCTCTCTGCCATTGCACCCCCCTCTGCCATCGCACCCCCCTCTGCCATCCCAGCCCCCTCATCCATCGCACCTGGTTGTACACCAAGAGTGATGACAGCAGCACGGCCAGCAAAAGGATCTGTGTGCTGTAGGTGGCCTGCAGGTGCGGCAGAGAGAAGGGAAAAGAACGAGAACATAGGAAAAGTGATGGGGCAAGAGGGGGTGGGGTGGGAGGGGGAAGAGGGGGGGGGTGTCCCTTCAATAAAAAACCCCCGCATGCTCAAGACCTGGCAATCTGCTGCAAGTTTTAAATGGACACCTGTGTATTGTGAATGGGGTCACCACGGCATGCCGGACATGGATGTCTAACCGTCTGGTCATAGGTGTTGATGCCCTTGGAGTCCAGCAGCAGCAGGTGGTACGCCGATCCATTGGCCGCCGTCACCTCCACCAGTGCACCCCAGTTCCACAAGCCCTTTGTGCATGGTCCGTGCGTGGGGCCCACTGTGAACCCGCTGCTGCGACCCAGCAGTTGGGGGGAGAGGGGAGGACATGAGAGAATCGGATAATTGAAAGGAAACTACTGCGAACCATGTAGCACCAGGGTAAGAGGCAAAAGGAGGAGGCAAAAGAGAGCAAAGGAAGTACGAGGAGCCATGCAGCAAGGAGAAATGGGAAGAAGATGAGGAAGGAACTTGGGACAAAGATGAACGCGGAAGATGACTTTCTCTTCCTTCACTTCTCCAGCACTTCGTTCATTGCGACCCACAAGCCTCCTCTTTACCTGGTTCAGCAAAAAACTCTTTCCACTCCTCGTTCACCTGCACACCGCTACCACTCCGATGGCTCCTCTCACGCGCCTCAGCACCGCCGCGGCTTCGAGCTCCATGCACAACATGCCCTCATCGTCCTTGTACGCCAGGCGGATGGCGCGGGGCGACACCATTGGTGGGTCGACGCTCGCCACCGCAAGATGTGTAACTTGAGGTGGCGGCGGCGGAAGTCAGCGCGCGAGCAAAGGCAGTGATCAGATCCTAACACTCTCGCTTGAGCGACCATGGCTTTAGATGGACGCAGCTGCGTTGGTCTGGCGCCTCGAGCAC